GAACTAACTACATCCGGCAAACTCTCGCCGAATCTACACTCCAGTTGGCGCCAATGGCCATTGCCCGCATCGTGTTCTTGAGCATACCCCACGAGCGCTCGGCGGCTCCATCAAGGCCTTGGGTATTCGCTGGCGAGGGCTCCGTCCTGATGTGTTGGCCATGTAGCCATTGCTTAACTCCTGGGAACCTCGTCGTGATCTCGTTGTCGCACTCGATGACCTTGACTTTGATGCCGTATTGCCGTTCCAGCATTGGAATGAAGTCCTTGAGCGCCGTGAGGATGTCCTGTGTATCGCGTTTGGTTGGAGAAAGTAGCTCCACATATACCCAGTAACTCTGTCAGAGATCAATAGGATTGTTGTGTATCCAAGAAAGTCCATCTCAAAGTCGTGGAAGTCCAGGGCCAGGCGCTCGCCCGCTCTGTATTCTCTGATGTCCCTCGGTGCGCGGCGCTGTTGTCTTTTCATCTTTGCCAGCGCGCAGGGATCGCACTGCATTGTCGTGGGTGGGTTGTTTTGATCAACTGGGTATTTGCTGGGCATACGTCGCCTGCCTGGCAGTCTTCTTCTGGTGGATTTGCTGGAGGTTCGTCGACAGGGTCTTGTTGTTCTTGATGCGACAAAGGTTGGGCCGCTGGCTGAGGTGTTGGCTGAGGGGCTGGTTGAGGCGCTGGCTGGGCCGCTGGCTGGGCCGCTGGCTTGGGCTTGTTGTTGCGCTTCGTTCGCGGGATCCCAGATATCCGAACACCGTCTGTTGCGTTGACCAGGTGGTTGAGCGCCTCTGGGCCTGGGTGGCCGAGTCTGAGATGCCAGGTCCTTGCGTTGACACGCCTGGGGCGCCGCTTGGTCCATGAATTGAACATCGCCGTAGCCTACAATTGGGAGGCGTTTGTCGCCGGCCCAGATTGAGTCTCCATCTAGGGCCTTCTCAGTATTGAGGAAGCGGCTGGGGTTGTTGAAGATGTTGACGGTTGAACCTGAGTCGAGGATAGCCGAGTTGTAGAGAGGGTAGTTGTAGGTCGAAAACGTGCCGGAAGGGCATGCACAACAGGCGTTGACCTCGGCAGTCTTCCTCGATTGTCAATGGCGATCCTCTGTGTCGGTTGTATGGCCGTCTTGGCTTGACGAATCGGCAAACTGGACCTCCTTCGCCTTTTTCTTCAGCCTCTGGACTTGACTTCGCAAGGTCGTAGATCTGTTCTGGGGTTGCGCCCACCTGGTCCCAAAGCTTGGTATACCAGGTCTTGAGGTTTTCCTTTGGCTGGCAGGCCGTCCTGAGGAGGTGTGGTTTGACAGTCTCCCCAACCCAGTCTCTGATTTCCTTGATGGACTTGTCCTCCTTCTCGAAGCGCCGCATTGCGTTGTTGTAGACACTCAGGTCAGCTTGTAGTCGTCCTTGCCCCTCGTCGTCATCTCGTTGGCGTTTGCTGGGCGGCCGTTCGGGTCTGGCTGGTCGTCTGGCATCTGTAGGCTTGCGTGCCTCGTGCTGTTGGCTGGGGGTTGTTGAGCCTGTACAAGCCTCTTCTCGTAGTTGTGTGGATCAGGCTCTGTTGGTTCGGTCAGGAAAACTGGGCATTGCTGGGCTTCTGGATCGATCTTTTCCCAGATGTGGGCAGCGATGGTTTTGCTCTGAAACTCTCTGTCCCAGACGCTCCAGTCCTTGGCTTCCTCGAGCCTGACGTTCTTGCTGGTCGATGAGGACATCGTGGATCTTAGGCTTCGTTCGGTCGGTCGGTCGGGTATGGAGGACGTTGGTGGCCGTCGTCGGCTGGGCGCGTCGGTATGGCTTCGACGGCGCGTTGATGGTTGATACGGGGCTTGGTATCCCGTCTTCGTGCCTGCGTAGCTCGTGGAAGCTCTGGAATGACCGTGCCGCCGAAGAAAAAGGTTCCGGTCACCAACACAGATCCAGTTTGCGCAGACACAAGCGCGTTTCAGTCGTTTTAAACATTTCATCATGTGCGCTTCTTAGAAGTCAAGAACCTACACCCTACACTTTGTCTTCCATTTTGACAAACCCAGTCTATTTCCAGCCGTGAGGCTAAGATGACACATACAGAAACACTTGTTGACACAGCTATCTGGTTGACCGCATGCCTCAACCTACAGGCATTGGCGATTTGGAAAACAGGGCGGTACTTGTAGTTATCTATCGTGTTTCTATACTGTTTTCCAAATCTAGCGCTGCGCGAAACTTCAGAAGGCGTTGGGCGAGGCGCTGCAGCTGCTGATTCTGCGACTGCGTTTTCTTTCCAGACCAAAGTTTGCCATCGCAACCTCCCAACCCGGCCCTTACAAGACACGACTTCGCCTGGAGCAAGGTCGCCCATTTTGTTCACTGAGCACACGCGCCTACCACCTAATCGAGCCTTCCATCCTTTCAGCCTTCGTGCCGGACAGACTTCAGCCGAAATTCCTGCGAAAACCGCCGCAGCCTCCATCTCGATCTTGAATCTTGCCAAACAGAAGATTCGCCGCCCTGTGGAACCCAACCTCACCATCCCTGCCGACCATCTTCCTTCCTCGATCACGGTTCGCCGCTCCGCATATCAAAGACCTCCAAAATGTTCGAGCAAGTCGATCTCACCACCATCCCCGTCTCGCCTGAGGGTGGGAACAACGCAAACGGGGCCGCCACCGACGGCGCCGAGGATGCCAGCAAGACTGTCACCGTCTTCCACGACAAGGAGAACTTTAATGTGAAGCACCCGCTTTTAAATCGGTGGACGCTCTGGTTCACCAAGCCCGCCAGCGGGAAGGTTCGTAATACTACCCCGCTGCCCCGCAATGGCGCGTTGTCTGACCAACCCCTCAGGGCGACAATTGGAACGATTTGTTGAAGGAGGTTATCACGTTCGAGTCGGTTGAGGAGTTCTGGGGCGTTTATGTGAGCATCCACTCGATCCGTACCAGTGCTTGGACTCTGGCTGACCCAAGCAGAACAACATTGCTCACGTTTCCGAGCTCGCCCTCAAGGCAGATTATCACCTCTTCAAGGAGGGCGTGCGGCCAGAGTGGGAGGACCCCCCAAAACAAGCATGGCAGCAAGTGGTCCAAGGACAAGCGCTCGGTCAACATCGACGAGATCTGCTAACCGCTTCAGACCTAGGAAAACAACGTTTAAACGAGCAGACTCTCTTGCTGCTCTAAGAGCAAATTCTAGGGAGATCGCCGTCACAAACCGCAGACAGCAGGCGCCGGCGGCGCGTCTCCTCCCAATTTTCCTTCTCCGCCTAGTCGAGCAGCGCGCCAACGTGCTAGCGCATATCCGCCTGCTCCTGGAACATTATATCTCAGATGCATTAAAGCCACATGAAATCCAACAGACTGACTCATTATCTATTAAAATGACCACATTAGTACGAAAGCCAAAGAATATTTTCCTTATAACCGTTATCCATCCCGTAACTCTCTGCCTACACAGCGACAACCTTCTGACCTAGTATCGTTATAGATGATAGGCAGAAGAGTCGCGGAGTTTGAAGACCTAAACCGCTCCTGCTCGCTCGTGAGCGCGGGCGATCCGTGGTGAGCGCAGCGAGCCATGTCGATGCATGCGATCCATGTGGCTCACTTCCTTGGCCTTAATGAGTCTCCTGCACCATGGCTCAGCCCCTAAGCGCCTCACAACCTCCCTTTGTCTTTGACTAGCTCCTGCAGTTTCCTTCCTCGCCGCAATATATGGTTCCGTTGATAGTCTCACTTATCAGTAGCCCATGCTTCCGCTTCGTCTGGCTGCCGCCAAAATCCACACTTCCTCACAACGCTTGACCTTCTTAGCATTGTTGCCCACTTGCCTCTTGTCCTATAGCCGCATGGCTACACCATGGGCACCCTGTTACCTTATCTTTGTGTTCTACAAGGGCAGATTCTGCCTCGCCCAGTATGGTTACCTTGATGGCTATCTTCAAGGTCAAGGGGTGACTCATCGTGGAGTTCCTAGGCAATCCAAGAAACATTCAACGACGCAAAGACGGACTTAAGCACCCCGACGAGGTATCGGACGAGATCGCGTTCTCGCCAAAATAGAAATCGATAACTTACGCGGCTTGGAAAAAGTGCCCCGTGGGCCTGTATTTGTATTCAATGCAAGGGCCTCCTAATCACCATGTTAATCACGGAATACTTGCAACCTTCACTCCATGGGCACACTGGTGCCAGCATCCCGAGCTCATTACACAAGCCCACGACGAGGAGGACAAGGTCCCGGTCCTGCTCGGCCTCCGATTTGCAAACAATGAGCTTTATTGTGAATGGGTATACGTTGTTAATCTTGATGCAGAGGTGCTTGGAGTTTTTCGTGGCAAAGACGGAAAGACACCAGGCCATTGGTTCGAAGACGTAGGGGAATGTGATGCCTCCGTTCCTTCCTTCATCTCTTGTTTTTCGTTCTCCGGACTACAAGAGACGAAGAATGAACAAGAGTTTTTCAACCAACTGGCTAGGACTAAGCATGAAGGGAGGATTGTTGAAAGTACCGCCCGGCCAGATATGACTGAATGTCATGCTGACAGGGAGGATAAGCATAAGTCAAAGCGCAAGCGTGCCAGTTCAACGCCGCATCCGAGCAAACACAGGAAGATGGCAACACGAGAGTAGCCTTGGTCACACACGCTGCCACTGGAGCACACCGCGTCCAGGTGACTGAGTGATTCTGTGGCCACCGACTGGCGGGTACGGGACACCGGGACTATTCAATGGGGATTGCCGGGATACAAACGTTCATATAAATATTGCTATAGGAGCGCATTCAAAACGGGAAAACGTAATGGCTCAAAAGAAACTGCAGTCATATAACAAGTATCAGCACCAATTTAAGAAAGTCATGCTCTGCATATTATGACCGACCGACCCTTGGAGAACCTCGACTGGGACAACGCTATATACGAAGTGATTAGCTCACGCTCTTATCGACTGGACAACTCTCCCCCTCTCTCCTTGTCGGTAATAGGGAGGTTAGAAAATGCTAGGTCGGCCATTCTTGCCGTCAACTACAACCAGGGCCGCTGGTCTAGTGGTATGATTCTCACTTAGGGTCTTAATTCTGAGTATTTGCTTGCGAGAGGTCCCGGGTTCAATCCCCGGGGGGGCCCGTGAAAGGGGGAGAGAGGTATTGGATGGTTTCTCTTTTTTGTCAGTTTTTGGCTTGGGTGTTGTTGTTTTTTCCTTCAAATTCCCCTCCTCCCAGCTTTCCATCCATCGCTTGTGTCACTCCTATAGCATTGCTACTATAAACCTCCTAGCTCGAGCCTAGAGTTCAAGAACACAAAGTACGGTTCGGTGGTCAGGAAGGGTAAGCTAACAGCTTGTATTTTTTACTAAGGAAGCGACTTTGGTGCGTGCTTGGCCCGTATCAAACCCCCCCCCTTCTTGTGTATTGTTCCGAAAGGCAAGCTAAGACTTCTCCCTCTGACTGGGTGGAAACGGCTACCAAATGCCGTCGCACCACGGCTTCACGACAACGACACCCAGAGTTATGGAGAGTGCCTTTCAAATCTAAAGGTTGTGTCATTAGTATTAGGTAATACAAAATTGACAATATTAAACCGAGCGGCCACTAACCGAGCCAATACAAAACGGCTTTTTAGCTAGTTATGTGCCTTAGCAGATGCAATGCGCGTTCAAGCCGCCGTTGCTCACGGAGCAGCAGCCCGCGCTTGCGCAAAAGGCGGTCGTGACCCAACCCTGGCCATTGCACACCTGGAGAGCCGGGCCGTTGCATTTCCAATGGCTAGCCGTGCAGGGTGGTTTGGTGCTCAAATGCGGGTCATAATTAATATTGGGGAGTGCCAAGGCCAGGTTGCATGAGGCGAGGCCGAGGACAAGAGTAGCGAGGGTAGTGAACTGCATTCTTGATAGTAGTAGTTGAGGTTAGGTCAGCGAGAATGTAATGTGATGAACCTTTGAAGTAGACGATGCTTGTCTGGAGGTCAACTGTCAAGTCGGCATCAGGCCCTTTAAGTTTCTAGCCAGCAAGCAGACCTGTTGTGCGATTCTACGCAAACTACTAGCCGTGCTCAAGGGAAGTGAGAGAAGCATTCGTCCGGGCTGAAGCGCCAGTTTTGGCTGCTGTTTGTATACTATCCCTCCACGCATATGATCCAGTTTGTCCTATGCGTTCGTTTAGTCACGAGCCGGTTTTGGCTATTCCCTAAGCTAACTTACGCGCGTTGAAACGCAGATAGAATCCGCGCGTAGCCATTCGAACAAGGGCAGGGTAGCATTCTTCCCCCTCTAGTCTTGGGCACTTGGCCGGCTCAAAACAGCTCACACCGAGGCAGTAGTCCTACCGATCCTTGCTACCCAAGTCAAGGGCTCGCTTCTGATTGAGAGGTAGTAAAAAACGGCCTTTTAACTAGACCTAGAAATGACTTTTCGTCTAACCTTAGGGCGCACTCGTCTCGTTGCCGGTCCCGCAATCTTTCGAGCTTTTACCACCGTTTTATTGGAATTGTGTTTCATACCCAAGGTTGGATCAACTGATGCGATATTCCCGGCCAGCCGGTTGGGACGACCAACGCCGCCGCCCCGAACGATAACTCCATTAAACGATGTCGCGGCGATTTGGCTGCCATTTTCGGCGGATTTTGTCGCTGATTTCTCTGGGTTATTTGCCAAAGATCCCTCGCTGCGTTAAGCCCCACTCGTTCGGTTCGTCATCACTACATTCACACCCTCCTACCACCATGTACCTGCCGCCACATGCTCTTGTACCTCAACCTTGGTATAAAATCGGGAGCCGTAAACAGATGCGAACTTCCTCACTGCACAATTTACAATAGACGCCGCCGAAAATGACGGCCACGCTCCATGTACTTAAGCTGGGCACCCCGCCAGTCCTCGTGCTGGTGGTGCCCGTCCTTTCACTCCCTCTTTCCCCTCCTTCGCCTCAATCGCTGCTTCGTCGCACCCCTTCTCCGTCCTCCTACCCTCGTCACTTCTCCTTTACTCGATCCATATTCGCAACTGTCCTTCGACGTGCTTTGCTCATTGCTTCACGCTTGCGTACTTCGACAGGCTTAACCCCCCACTCTTCCTCACCTGGGGCGATTTTGGGCTTGCAGCCCACATGAAACTACGCAATGGCGATGACAGTCGCCGCCGCCGTCATCTGTATAGCTCAGACGATGAGTTATTCCCGACCGGTCGACTAGAGGACGAAGCAATGGGTTATGACTCGGACTCCTGGTCAACATACGAAGATGTTTTTGACGCCGAGCATGCGGACGCCGCTGGGTACGAGACCGATCTGACCGACGCGAACGACGGCGATGTAGAGGACGCGGCGGCACTCCTGGACGGAAATGCGCATCCTCCCGAGTACTATATCCGTGCACTGGAAGCGTTCGACGAGTCTTCGTTTGATGCGCAGGATTACGCACCGACGTCTACTCTCCTCCTGGACCGAGTCGAGGAGCAGTGGAATAAGTACGTTCGCTACTTAGCTGAACCGGTACATGAGTTCTCACCATTTTCTGATTAGCTACTGCGCCTATATTCGACGCGATCCGCACGCGTGTTTCGAGTCTGTCTCGGTCAAGCTCCTCTACATGTTTTTCGACTGGCTCCTGAATCAGAAACAGGGAAAGAATGGTAGGCGGCTACGGGGGACTAAGAAAAAGAGCTCCCTCGGAACGTACTGGAAGGTGTTCCGGCTCGTCTACGAGAGGGTCATGACGCAAAAGCTTGACGCAAAACTAAACCGCCAAATGCACAGAGTACGTGTCACTGCAGCACATATTTCCGGCAAGATGCTAACGACCGTAGGCCCTCCGAAATGTAGCGGAGAAGCACGGCTTGAACAATGAGAAGCGGGAGAAACGATGTATGACGATCGACGATCTGAAGAAGCAGATCGACACGACCGTGAGCACAACGGAGAAGTCCTTCCGCATCGGCGAGTGCCGCGTTCTCTGTGCCCTCTTCCACCTCCTTCTTGCCCCGAGCGGATCCCGCCCCAAAGCCCTCTTGCTATTGCGCTTTAAGCACGTTCGAGTGTCTCTAGTCCGTGATCCAGAGGGAGGACCTCACCAGATCGTCATCCGCTTCACATTAAAGTATACGAAGGGGTTCCTCGGCGCAAAAGAAGCGTATGGTCCTTTTTGATCACCCGCGAGAACTTTGCTAACCGCGGCGCTAGCAATACGTTTCCCGTCCCCGAGGTCATGTGGGACCCGTGCCTCCTCCTCAGTCCGCACGTTTTCCTCCTGGGTCTTCTTTTTGCCAACGAGGCCTTTGAGGCGTCGGGTCTCACATCTCCAGAGCAGCTACGCATACTCGATATTCACCCCGAGGAGCAGGAGCTGCCGTTACCGCTCAAAGGGAGTCTCGGCAAGACGTTCGTTTTCCGCAAAGCTATAGCGACATTGGCTGGATACGTGATGTCGGAGGAGGGCATCCCTTACTCGACCATGGCGCCGTGGATCAAGCGAATCGGCGAGTTGACTGGATTCAAGTTTTAGACCATCCCGTATACTCTCCGCTACACTGCCGCCTCCGAGTTCGACAAGAGCGGTAGGTACGCGCACCCAGGCAACAGAGAACCATCCCTACTAACCTATAAATCAATAGGAGACATAAGCGAAGGGCTCCGAAATCTAATCCTACAGCACTCGGACTCGAGGGTGATACTGCGACATTACCTCCAGCGCGAGATCCGCGCGGACACTATGGGCATCATTCGAGGGCTTGAGCCCCAGCGCGCCCTCATCAAGAACCTTTGTAGCTTAGGTTCCTCAATCAGCAAGCGGCGGCCAACAGGACTCACAAGAGCACAATCCACATCGGTAAACAACGACCCTCATCTTAAGGAGCTCGTCCAACGTCGAGACAATCTTCGCGCGCGCTCCCGGCAGTCGGCCGAAGCAAGACACAAGTACAAAAGGGCAGCGAAGGAAGTTACAAAGGAGAGGCTGAGGCTGAGGAGAGCGCTCAAGACACAGATTCGAGAGGAGTTTGACGCCCAACAGGCTGTCCAGGACATTGAGAGACAGCTGGCCGGCCAAGGATTTCAGGACACCGCGGCCGAGGCGGCTACTAGTGATCAGCTCCCCGCCCAGAAACGTCTCATCGAGGCATTGCGCGCGCCGATGGACTGCAAGACTATTGAGGAACTGTATGAGCGGCGGGATGCCGCAGTCAATGCAGTTGCCGCATACTGCAAGGTCGAGGAAAGCTGGCACCCGCGGCTCCCGTCGGCTAAGAAACCTCTAGCAACTGCAGCACTCGCCAAGACCCATACAAAGGATCCCTCAGAGGGCAGCCTGCTGCATGATGCGCTGCTGTCTGTGTTCGAGAAGAAGCCATATCGGTGTTTCCTCTGCGTCGGGAAGGCCCGCTCCATCAGGGAGGACGATGCGCGGTTTGCGCGGCTTGTCCACGAATTCCACTCCCCCGGGGACGTAACAAAGCACTTCCGACGCACACACTTGAAGAATTTGCGAGAGAATGAGGTTATTTGTTGTACTGCTTGCGATCTGGTGCTTGTCAACGAGCAGCACCTCAAATGCCATGCCATTAATGTACATGGAACTGTACCTTGATCGCCAACTGGGGCAAAATCGTGCTGTATAGTCTTAGATATGTTGTACCCGCCGGATCTACACGCTGTATAATAATTTGTGTTTCCCGAGCCACTTTCTACCACACTACAAACACTATTCTACATTGCAATACATCAACACTCAGAACCAACTATAATTACATCAGAAGTTGCTGAATCTGACACTTCTGCAACCCCCTGGCAAGTACGTGCATTATGACCAGGCTTGCCGCACACACCACAGCACCGAACCTTCGTACGAACCCCCCCTGCACCACCACCACCCGGCTGCGTTTCTTGCACTCCCTCATTACCTACAACCTCCTGGCCTAATGCCTCCTGTGCACCTTGTACAGTAAGTGACCCTCCGAGCTGTACGCGTGTTCTTTTGGCTCTTCGGCGCTTGCTTAGTGCCTCGTTGGCCTTGCGGAGCGAAGCGACCTCTGACTGAAGGAGAGTCACCTGATGCATTACAGCCGTTGTACCCTTGGCAAGCTGGTCCACAGCAGCCAACATCGAAGTCGGGGAGCTGTTTTGATGGTTCGCAATGCGA